GTATTCACCTCTAATCTTTTTCTTGACTTCAGTGTGCTTGATGTTGTCAGCTTGAAGGATACCCAAGTATTTGTAGTAATCTTCCTCATCCAGACTCTTAATGTTATTTTCGTGAGGCATCTTGATTCCTTCAGTTTTCACTACTTTTCCTTGTTTGATAGCAAGTGTGGCACATTTGTCCAAGCCAAACTCCATTACAATATCTTGGCTATATATACGGACAGTGTTGAGCAGCGATTCTATTTCAGATGATGTTTTTCCATACAGCTTCAGATCATCCATGTAAAGGAGGTGGGATAGTCTAGCAGATGTTTTTGATGTTTGATAGCCATGTCCTGAGTTATTCAGTATTGTTGACAGAGGAAACAGTGCAATAACAAATAGTAATGGTGATAATGAATCTCCTTGAAATATTCCTCTCTTGATATTAACCTCTCCCAGCCTCTCACCATTGATCTGCAACTGTGTCTTCCATTGTGCCATCGATCTTTGCACAAATTTTGTGATGTTTCTACTGACTCCTGTTATTTCTAGGCACTTGATTATCCAGTCATGTGGCAGAGAGTCAAATGCCTTTTTGTAGTCAATCCATGCCACATTCAGGTTGGTCTTCCTTTTCTTGCAGTTTTCCAAGATCATTTTGTCTATTAGGAGTTGATCTTTTGTTCCTCTGCTATTGGGGCGGTTTCCTTTCTGCTCAGGTGGAAAGAGATTGTTTTCAACTAGATGCTGTTGTACTGCATCAGCTACCACACCAGTTAGTAATTTGAAAGTTGTTGGTAAGCAGGTAATTGGCCTGTAGTTGCCTGGTGTTGCCCCTTTTGCTGGATTTTTCATTATTAGGTAGGTTTTCCCAGTTGTTAACCACTTTTCAATTTCTCCTCCTTGTAGTATATTGTTGAACTGCTTGGCAATGAGTGGGTGTATAACATTTAGATGTTTCAACCAAAACCCATGCAATTCATCTTCACCTGGTGCTGACCATTTTTTGATTTTCCTTGCTCTTTTTTCTACTATTTTTGTTGTTATTACTAGTTCTTTCATTTCAGCTTCTGTTCTATTTGCATCCACCTCTTTTAACCAAACCGCATCCTTGTTGTATTTCTTTGGGTTATCCCATATCTGCTTCCAGAACTGCACTATTTCTTCCTTGTCAGGTACTGACTGATCATTGCAGTTTCTCTGATGGTGATGATGATGATGATGATGATTATATCCTTGTAATTTTCTTGAATAGGAGATAGAAACAATTTTGTACTGCTTTATTTAAGGATGATTTTTGACTTCCCAAACTACTCACCAGATCTGAAAATAATTCATTGCTTAACTTGGGAGATTAGCCAAGATCTGCTGAGGGCATAGGGAATGAAGGAAGAGCTGCTACCTAGGTCACAATCAGACCAAAGAGTCCATTCCAAGAATTTGAGAAAATGTCTCAGACAAGCCCCTTCCTAATTCACATGAAAATAAAAGAATGAGGAAAGGAAGCCCATTTAGACTCGTAAGATCCTGTTCCTATAGCAGTTCCAATAAAAGTAGTTTTAGACCTACTTTAAATGGCATTAGGTTTTTTAATCTGGCTTATTATATACAGTAGGGCTGATACGATCTGCCATCTGCTGCTTAAACCTATTGCTCAAGGTTCCATACAATAATCACATTATTAATGATATTAATATTATTAATATCACTAAAAGCATTTAAACTGAGTATTCAATCTTTCCTCAGCTTACTAAAGTCCACATATATTGCATCTTTGAGTTGCACAATTCTGAGCTCATAATCCATTAGGAATCCTAAGAAGTATAGTCCCAAAGTATCTGTAAGTCAGCAGATTAGGGGTAACTGTAATACATATCTGAGAGTAATGTTATTGCATTCAGTGAGACAGAAATATTGTGCACACACACAGAGAGAGACAAATATCAAATCAACCCAGAGTTGTCACTCTAGCCACAAATGATGAAGCTCAAATTATTCTACTTTGGACACATTATGTGAAGAGCTAGCTCTCTAGAGAAGTTTCTAATACTGATAGGAATAGAAAGGAAAGAGAAGAAGAGGATGATCAGCAATAAGATGGATGGACTCAGTTGCAGTTGGGACGGATACACTATTGAGTATCCGAGTAGGATTTTGACACTATGATGGTTCATAATCATATCTGATTGCATTTTGGACCAGTCACTCTCAGCTCACTATGTCAGGCTCAGGTAACAAGCTGGTCAGTCAATTCCCTTTGCACCCAATATATCAACATTTGATTGATTTTAAAAAAAGCTGGCCTTGCACATGTAGAAAAACATTAGGAAGAATGAATGAATGAACACACACAAAATTAAAAATAATGCCAGAGATATTTTTCCATGAATAGATATATGCTAAATCTATTTATATTTAGAACACAACCTCCCCTTCTGCCCCTTCTCTTTTTTTTAATAAAAAGACAAAAGACTTTGGGGAGGGATAATTTTATTCATTTTATTGATTGATTAGTATAATTCATGTGTCATATATTGATGTCTTCATAATCTTGATCCTATAAATTGGGTACAAAGATGGGTATAAAGCTTATAGTGTTGTGAGATGAAATATTAGAATAACAAAATACAATGTATCAGTAAATTATGTATTGCTTTTTCTATAAGCTTTAACATATGTAACAGAATATTATGGAAAACATTAGTAATGTTGTTACACAAAATATTCAAGGTTAAGTATCCTAGCATATTGTTTCATATAATTTGCTACTTTATTGTGATATTACTGGATATTTCACCAACAGTGAGTGGACTGCCCACTTAATATAAGGACAGGGCAAACTGTGGTACAGGCCACTAATTGGGTCATTTGAATGAAATAAAATTATATTTGCCAGCCAAGAATGTTTACCATTTCGGTACAGTGCTGTTTTGGGGGAAGAAGATTGATTTGAATATCAAAAGTTTTTGCTAATGTGCTCCATGTCATGGTTCTGAAAGAAGCAGCTTTTCAAAGAACTTTTAGGCTTTGTTTACTTTAAACAATCCTTTTATTGCTACATAGCTTCGGCACATACATAATGAAGCCAAAAACTGAATCCTCCCTCCCCCAATCACCCGTAACAAAGCATAACTACTCCTTCATTTAACAGTTATCAATCACGTTCTCCAATTAGGTTGAAGTGCAAACTTTCCCTCCCGTAACTCCTCTAGTTACATCTGACCTTGGAAATACTATACTAAGATATGGTTGTGGCTATCTATTCCCCATTACATACTTTCCCACCCGCTATTCTAACATTGTTTGACTTTTACTCTAGAAGTGATATACAGGTTAAATAAAACAGGTTTGCTTCTTCATTTATGTCAAGCAAGAACATTCGATGTTAGCAGTCTTGACACTCCAAACATGATAATAGAAATGGTAGACATAGAAAGTTATGAGCTATGTCAACTATATGATTATTCCCAATATAGAAATATGCTGTTTAACTTACCATATGCATTATTTAGAAAACATAACCATGCTTGACTCAATTTACGTAATTCTTTGCACTGAACCATTAATGAAAGACATCTTCCTGGTTCACACAACACAGTGGGCTAAAATATAGTTGCCTAGTTTGAGCTTGATTGTAATATATGAACATGACTTTGGGTCCATTTTGAGCTTGCATGCCAAATCTGAAACCTTGGATTTAAAAAAAAAAAAAAAGGAGGACTACACTAGTAGAAGGAGTCCTTCTACTAGTGTGGTCCTTCTTCACTAGTAGAAGTAGTGCAGTACCATAGTAGAAGGACTCAATGCATCAGTGAGGCTGCACTTGGAATACTGCATCCATTTCTGGTCATCACAATATAAAAAAGATACTGAGACCTTAGAAAGTGTGCAGAGAAGAGCAACAAGATGATAAAGGGAACTACGTATGTCTGCCTAATAGAGAGAAGGATTAGGGGTAACATAATAGCTGTCTTCCAGTACTTAAGGGGTTGTTACAGTGACAAGTGGGTTGACTTATTCTCCACAGCACCTGAGGGCAGGACAAGAAGCAATGAGTGAAGCTTGTCAGAAGGAAAGCTAACCTGAAACTAAGGAGGATTTTTTTAAAAATGAGAAAGATTAATCAACTTGCCTCCCAGAGTTGTGGGTGCTCCATTGCAGGAGGTTTTTGGAAAATGATTGGACAACCATTTAACCAGGATGATATAAGGTCTTCTACTTTGGACAGAGGATTGGACTAGAAGACCTCCAAGGTCCCTCCCAGCTCTATGATTCTATAAGACTAAAAATAGCCATGGGTTGCCTCTCCTCATCTAAAGATTTTCATCAGCTTTAAAGGCAAGATAGCCATTGTTAATGTAATATCCAGGTAAATCTTTATTGGACTGACTGGAAGAAAGGGCTTGTCAATTGTTGACAAAAGTCCAGTGAAACAAACAGCAGGTCCTAGCAGGGATTTGCCTCATTTGTGCAAATGCATACAATTAATACTCTTTGTGTATTGCAGTATTAGTCTGGACTCCTACTCTTTGAATGTAGTCAATTTAACTACTGTTTACATAATTGAAATCTTTTGCATAGTTCTACTAAAGGATAATGTGAAATACCTGCTGGAAGATCAAAAAGTGGTTCATGCTGATATAAAACTGCCGGAGCAAAGTTGTTTGAAACAAGTTAGCCAACAACATTGATAATATATTATTACAAAATACGGATAACCAGGATTGTTTTTTTAAAGAAGGTTCCCTTTAAGCTGCCACTGTTTATTGGAAATGTCTAATAAATAACCTTAACCAAGGTTATGGCCATGTTCACAGATAAGTTCAAAGATATCAATGCTGGAAATATATTGGCCAATGCAGGGGAGAAGATTCCTCTCTGCCTTCTCTTACAACATGAAGATGAGGGGGTTTCTGAAGCAAATTGAGGAAAGCAAATTCATCAGGCAGCTTCAAACAAGGGCTACATTTGCGTGTAAAAAGAATACATGTTTACATTTTTGAAGTTTCACACCTTACCTTTGAGGTCCATGAGATGAAACTTCTGCTCTGCATAGGAATTCAAGCTGAAGCATTCCTAGAAGGTGGAGGTCTAGGTCCTGTTCAAATGTATGCAGGGAAAGTGAGCACACCACATCTCTAGATGATTTAGGAAGTTCTCTCTAACATTTCATTGAATTCAGTCTTTCTGAAGTTTAAATCTGTTCCTCTAAGTCCAAATCCTGGAAAGACAGTAAACAGCTCTTTACTTTTGTCACATGACATTCTTTGACGTATCTGAAGATTGCTATTACTGTATATCCTCACTCAGTCTTCTCTTTTCAAAGCTAAATTATTCCCAATTACCTACCATTTCTCTTCAGAGGACCTCTCTTTTTAATACCGGAATATCCTCATTGTCTTTCTATGATTCAGCTTTTTAAAACGATTCTTAAATTGCAGTGCCCATAATTGGATGTGGTGCGCAAGGTAAGATTTGACCAATGCAACAAACTGAAATACATTATATCCCAGGATTTGGAACCTGTACTTCCAAATTTGGTGAACCATCCAGCACCCATGGAACTGTCTTGCTCATTAGAATTTAATGCTTTGAAAGATATGTTACCAATATTGTCTTTTAAGCTGGCTAGCTAATAAAAAGATTAGCTGCATTTGACTGGCTGGAGTAGTCCTCGGGATACTCACTGACTGATCTCTTATAATGTGCTAGAAAATCCTCCCAGATATTGATATAATTTGCTGTATCTTCCTTTTTCTTTTTGAAGGAAAACTTCTGTTCCCCTCCAGTCTGCTATTTCTTCTGTCTTTCAGAACTTTTTGCAGGCGATCCATAAATGTTTAAACAGACCATTAACCAGTACTCTACAATGGAATTCGTCCAGCCCTGGATATTAGTTCTGTCACTTTGTTGTTAGCGAACACCCGGCCAAAATAGGAACTGAGTAACTCTGCTTTTCCTTTAATACATAGCAGAATTTTGCCATCTTCATTGATTAACTGGCATACTAATTATTTTGCTTTTATTTATCAACACATCTGAAAAATAATGTTATTGTTCTTAATTAACTTTGGCTCATTTCACATTTATTTTTTCCTTATTTTTCTATTGCTCTGTACAGCCTTATGTATTTTTTTATGACATGTTCTTTCCACCTCTCAAGTGTCATTTTTGCTATTAGACCATCATCATAGTCAGAAATTGTTTCTTCCATGTGGGTCTGAAAGCTGTTTCTAAGGTCCAGTGATGCAATTTTCTTAGGAGTCTCTTCAGTTTCTGTCAGGACTTGCATCTTAAACAAGATACAGTAATCAGGTTTTGTGCCTTACCATGGTCATTTGGATCAAGTTTAGCTTCCATTCTAAGATTTGGGAAACTGGAACTTGAAGTTGACAGCAATTCTTTGTTATAAGTTCTCATTTTCAAGCTGCCTTGTGATATATGTTTTTAGTTTGAACGCATTTAACTCTAAAGCTAGTTCAAATGCGGGATGTTGCAAGAGAACACAAATAAATTGGTGCTACTGATTTTTTTTTCTTATTACCATGCAAACACAGTCTTTTTACTTGCTGAGAGTGCAATCTATTTTACAGTTGTGTTTGCACAATATATTTACCCGCAGTTAATATTTAGCCAGAGCTTTGTTGCTTCTTTCCCCAGTCTCTTGGGGTGTGTGTGTGTGAGGGCAGAGTGGTAGGGGAAGAGAAGTGCTGTTGTATTGGCCCAAGCCCATTTTATGGAGGTCCTATTTTGATTTCAACTGCCAAGAAATATTTAACTTCAAACTATTATGTGTGTGTGAATGAAGGGAACCAGAGTTACCTTCACCTGGGGTATAAAAATGTTAAGGCATTTGAACTTGTGACTCAAGATTCAGGTTTGGATGATATGCCAAGGCACAATACACATGCCCATGGTTAGTTAATTATGGTTAGTTAAATTAATAGAGTTGACTGGTTTGCAAGACTCATGAGCCACAAGCTAGTAACATACATTTTAGCCCAACAGAGTGCACTAATAATCTACAGTATTGTGTAAGTCTAACTTCTTTGTTAGTTTATGGTTGTCACAGAAGCCCTGACACTAACTGAGATCATGGTCATGCTAACCTTGAATGAACATGAACACAGTCTGGTAAAGATATCAAAACTGCAGGCGTGTGAGGCTCACCTGCCTTTGGAAAGCAATGTTGTTTATCACAAAGTATAATTGTATTGCTGAAGCCTAGACTCCAGCTTTGCAAGCAAAACAATATGGCAGACTCTGTCCAGCACAGCCTATGGCTTTTACTGATCATGATCATTGAAACAAGAATGTTTCTTTAAGCACTACCAAGGAATCATAAATGCTCTAGTTCCTCCCTATCCAGATGTAGTGCCAGGAAGAAGGGGGAACAAGGCTGTTTGGTTTCATGTGAGAGTCAGACTTGGGATTCTCCACTACTGTACAATTTGTCCATTCCTCAGAATGCAGTCTGTTGTTACTATTAGTGGTTGGATCCTGTCTTTCCCTCCATTTCAGCCTTTGAAAGAGAATTCTCAAGTTTGTCCCCCCCCCAGTTGGCAATCAAGTGTCGCATAGTGCATTGGTCTCAGGTGCGCTGTAGGTAGTTCTTGACTTACAACCACAACTGAAACCAAAATTTCCACAGCTAAGCAAGCCCAGCTTTACCCCATTTTACAACCTTGCCACACTTGTTAAGTGAATTACTGCAGCTACTATGTTTAGTTATATAGTTGTTAAGTGAGTCTGGCTTCTCCACTGACTTTGTCAGGATGCAAAAGGTGATCACATCACTGCAACCATCATAAATACACGCTAGTTGCCAAGTGCCCAAATTCTGACCATGACCAAGGGGATGCTACAATGGTCGTTAAGTGTGAAAAACGTTCATTAAGTCCCTTTCTTCCATGCTGTTGTAACTTCAAAACAGTCATTAAACAAATGGTTGTAAGTCGAGGTGTACCTGTACAGCTGTGAGGCAACATAAGGGAAAGAACTATGGAGTAAGCAACAGGTTTCAGGTAGAGCTGTTTACATCCTGGGAGAGGTCACATTGGGCAACCTGTTTGCTGTGGGTGTGAGAAACAGCTTTCAAACTTTTGGGTGTATTTGGCCTCGGTGGCACAAGTGGGTTTGCTGCATTCTGACTGCATGAGTAAGGAGGACAGTCTGCAGACTTCCATTTGTGCTCTGGGTGACTCCAGGTGACTTTCTGGAAAGAAAACCTTCTCAGGTCCTCAGAGGGGCCACTGGTCTTCTGCAGCTGGGGTGCCCTGCAGCTGGCTGACAGCCACCTGAGCCCCACCGGGCACAAGGGTTTCAGGAACCGAATTTATTTTCAAACAACACTGAGCCCCCATTCCTCTGTTTAGTACCAAAAACTCCCTCATCTCTCAGAAGCGCTGGGCGCTGCTAATCACCCAAAGCCATTAAGGGTGGCCATTCCGCGCTTCCTCCCCAGAAGAGGGGTCGAGCACCGGAGCTGAGGTTTCTCCGGGTTCTGCACGGGTAACTTCTCCAGGCGCGCATCTGAGCATTCAAGGCCTCGGCGGTACGTTTGTGCGCATGTGGCAAAAGTATCTGTTGTGTGTCGGCCGCCCTTTTCTCTCGCCCATTGCGAACCTCGAGCGAGTCCGGGCTTTGATTGACAGCGGCGGGGCGGTCTCCCAGCACACTGAATGCTACAGGTGATCTCCCCGGCCCTTCTGAAGCGCGGGGAGCACCGCAGACGCCCATTCGGCGCCCTCCTCCCGTGGGGGGCGTGGGTCTGCCGGCCGACCTGCCTGCCTGTTGCCCTAGAGACGGGCTTCCCCGGCTCGCGCTCTTCCTCCTTCCCGCGGCAGGGGGCCCAGGAGCGCGCCAGCGAGCGGGCGGGCGGACAGGCGGGCGGAGCCGTCGGGTCTGGCCCGGGGCTGGGATCCTCCTCCCGCCTCCCTGCCGCGCGTGGCTCAGACGTCAGGAGGAGCCCAAGCGGGCAGGAGGCAGCGCCCATCCACACAGCTGCCAGAAGTGTCGGCGGGTACCGGACGGGCAGAGCCGGGCGAAGCGGCTTCCTGGCTCAAGCGAAGTCGAGGGAAAGCAGGAAGGAGCGAGAGGCGGGGAAAGGGGGTTCGCTCAGGCGCGCGCGCCATGGCCGACGTCTTCCCACTCTGCGAACCCGGTTCGGGTCCCGAGGTGGCTCGGCGGTTCGCCCGGAAAGGGGCCCTTCGGCAGAAAAACGTGCACGAAGTCCGGGACCATAAATTCATCGCGCGGTTCTTCAGGCAGCCCACCTTCTGCAGCCACTGCACCGACTTCATCTGGTAAGGAGAGCCGCCGACCCTATCTTCTCCGACCGCCTCCCCCTCCTTGCCGTTGCCCCCGGTGCAAGCCCTCTCCCCAAAGCGAGCTCCGCAGTCCCGGCGCCTCCTCAGCCGCCGCCTCCCTCAGTCTCTGCTTCAATCTGGCTTCACCCCGCTAGCCTTCTCCGAAAGGCAGCTCCACTCTTCGCGCCGCCTCTCCAGAGCTGCCTCTGCCCCCGTCCTTCTCCCTTTAACTCCTCCGCAGATTTCCCAGGGGATTAACTTCCTGGGTGCAGGAAGAGAGAGTCCGCTGTCGGCCCTTTGCATTGGGAGAAACGGATTTCCCCTGGGAGTGAAGTGTTGGAAAGGCGAGAAGGGGACTCCGAGAGTCATCCCAGCGAGGGCGGCTGCTCCTCCGCTCTCTTCCTCTCCGGGCTGTCACAACTTTGGCAGTTTTCCCGAATCTGATATCTTCCAGATGTATTGGACGCTAATGTAAGGTCCTCCTCTGGAAATGATGGAACATGCCTGGAGGACAACAGTTTGGGGAAAACACTTTCTGAGTAGGTGTGTATATTGCTGAGTGTGAGGGAATCTTCCTGCACACCATTGCTTGCATACCTGTGGGGATAGACATTCATCTTTGCTTCCATTGAGAAAGCTTTTGGCTGCTCCTCCAGCTTGCCAAAAAGGATCCTTGTTGCCTGGTCACTCTGGAGAGATAATTAAACAGTATTTCATCGTTTCTCAAAGGCACTTCCTGCATTGTAATCTTCCCTCTGTGTCAACTCCGCCACTCCCACTGACCACATCAAAAAATGAAGCTCTTCCTGAACCACTTTGGCACTAGAGACACACACAAATTCAGATAGATCCTTTCTCAGCATGAGCTGACTTTTTTTTTTTTTTTTGGCTGTAAAAGACATTTTCTCGCTTCCTTCTGAGAAAAGGATCTTTGTGATAACCCTTGAAAGAGAGCATCTTTCTAACATTTGTTGCCAGTGTTTGGGTTTTCCCAAGATAGATAGATAGATAGATAGATAGATAGATAGATAGATAGATAGATAGATAGATAGATAATAGAGATTAGGTAGGTAGGTAGGTAGGTAGGTAGGTGATAGAGGATAGGTAGATTAGGTAGGTAGGTAGAATAATAGATAGATAGATAGATAGATAGATAGATAGATAGATAGATAGATAGATAGACCAACTACAATGTATCCCAGGGAAGAAGCTGTTATGTCTATCCTTCCACTTGTTGTTTTACTGACATGCATGACATAGCATGTGCCTTCCAAAGGAGATGTGTGTATGTTGTGTTGACTTATTAGTCAACACAACAGTGTTTCTCAATCTTGGCAACTTAAGGTCCACAGATCTTCAAGTTGCCAGGGTTGAGAAACGTTATTTGGGCCCCTCCCTTCTTTGTAACACTCCCTTTCCTTAGAAGAAATGGGAAACCTGAGGCCCTTCATATATTGCTGAACTACACCTCTCTGCATCCCTCATAATTGTATCATGGTTAGAATTTCTGGGAAGCCATTGTAGGAGAAGACCAGATGTAGAAAAGATACTTTTCTACATCTGGAAAATTGTAGGTTCCTCATTTTGCTTCTACTTGTGTACTGGCTGTGCTAAGATGAAGAAACTGACATCTCTCTACTCTTAAAAATACAAGAACTTTGCCTTCCATTGCCCACAATTATCTTGTTCTTCCATTGAACTAAGTTCATTTGATAAGGGGTTGATAATATTATTCCCTTTATCTGTCCCTACCTGGTATGGGATACTGATTGGTAGCAACTGTTGAGAAACTACTTCCTAATGAGAAAATTTTATTGAGTCCCTGACCTCACATCAGAAACAGACACAAAATACTTTTTTCTTCCAACATAGGGATTATACTAATATGCCCAAAAGGTTAATCTAGTCTGAAAAAAGATAGAAGTAATAATACCATGATATATGTCTTCTATGAATATTAGCAGAAATTCAAATTCAGGGCATCTCTACCTTCCTAAATACAGTGTAGGTGGGGGCATATAAATGAGAACCTTGCCAAAAGCACTTCTTAAATATTTTTCCTGAGAATTTCTTTCCTTAGAGAATTCCTTTAGGAAGACAATTCTGTCTGATATAGCCTTTCTGGCCGTATTCACATGATACATTCATATAATAATACTGATTAATCCACAGTTTACATATTGTGGTGGGCAGAATATGTGCACCATGAACTAACTCTGGGCTAGACTTGAATGTGATTGTTTATGTAAAGGAGAACTTATTTATACAAAACTTATACAACTGCTGTGTACTGGCTAGTGAGATTTCCAGCTGTAGTCTTGTATAAAACAGTCTTCCTCCCCCTTAAATTCTGGAGTCTTTCAGGCTCTATTTGAATTCTGTATTGATTGTCTAACTCTAACCCATTCATCGGCTTTATTATTATCCTTTAGAGACTTTCTTTCCCTTTCTTCTTTCTGATCTGTCTTGCTCTTTAATGAAAAGCTTTCAGTTCTCACTAGCTACAGTATTGACGTATTATGCTAACCTATAGTTCACACTCAAGTCTTTGTCATGGAACTTGCAAGGTAATGCTGGGACAATCAGACTCTCTCCAACTAATCCTAGGATAGTTGTTATAACCGTAACATTAGGGGAGATCCACATATATGTTGCCTTGAATCCCCCTGAGAAAAAATGGGATGTAAATAAATAAAAGCATATTGAGCTACAAACTAACTAAATACAACATGTATGATCCTACCCATTATGTCTCATTTTATGCTTTTACTGGTTACACCTAGGTATGTTTGATACTGAACTCATAGGTTATAATTGCACATAACACTAAATCTGATTTTTTAATCATGGACTATTCAAGTCAGTTGGCCCTGGAAATTAGCAAAACAATCCTAGCTCATTGAATTAGTTTCTATTTAATTTTTCCTCAGTGTTTTTTGCCAGAACCAGAATTGGTTTTATCAAACAGTTGGAAATAAACCATAAAGCCATGAATAAGCCATGACAGACAGTTTGGTCTGGTGGTTAAGGCACCCGGCTAAAAACTGGGACACTGTGAATTCTAGTCCTGCCTTACACATGAAAACCAGCCTGGTATTTTGAGCCAATCACCATCCCTCAGCCCAACCTGCTTCACAGGGTTGTTGTTATGGGGACAATAGGAGGAGAAAGGAGTGTTGGATATATTCACCACCTTGAATTATTTGTACAAATAATAAAGGCAGGTTAGAAATAAATTTTGGATTCTGACATAATGGCATTTCAGATTTATAATTAACCAGAGCTTGTAACCAGTAACCTCTAGCCATGGTTTCATTATAAGAATTATGTATGTTTCTTGATGGAATCACATCTTATCCTAAGCGTAGAAAAATCAAAGCATATACTCACTTTACTGAATTTAAAGGGCATGCGACAGAATTTGCTATCTCATTTTCTTGTTTTAATAAGGCTCAATCTAAAAGCAAGACCTATAATTTTTTTTTGTTTAAACATAGCTGTGGTGAATTGTGAATTGGATCAGAACAGTAAACATGCTGGGGTTTTTAAAATCTCTTCCATTTCCACCCCAGAAGTCACTTGAAACCAACAGGCCAAACTTGTCTTTTGCCTGAAAGGGCAAAAATACAGTATTTGTATTTCCTTGGAAAACCAATTTGAAAGACTCCATGTCTTGATAACTAGTAAAAAATGACATGGTGGAAAAATAAATCCCCTTGCTCCTGTTTCAATTAAATTCCAAGTCCTTCAGGTCTGTTTTTAAACAAAAGACAAAAATAGCAATAGGTTTATCAGTTCATGCATAGTTTGCATCTAATATATCAGCTGTCATTTGGCTTTTACTCTTTTTCATGTTGATTTACAGAGTTCTTAACTAATTAACACATATTGGAGGTCAGGTCTTTATATTCTAACAGTGAGACTTAAGGTTAAATTTCCTTTTTAATGTTAATATAAATTAATACCTGAGTCTCCTGGATTTAACAGAATTAAGGATTCTTAATTTTAATTCTGGTTTATTATCATTGCACAAAACTGGTGATACATGGGGTACCAATCACTTTTGCTATGTTTTTTAGGCTAGGGAGAGCACTTAGATAAATCAGATTTCTATTCATGATTTATTGCTTTTAAAGAAGTCAGAATCTGAAACTCTTCTGTCTTGACTTACGTTCTTGCTTCTTTTGAGAACAATAAGCCAGGAATGCTATTAAGATAGTTATGCTAAACAAACCATAGATAGAGGTTTCTTAGTTTGTTTGGCTATGTATACTGAGCAGATATCCCACAGGTGTCCCCTGCTCTAATAGCCATTGTAGGAGAAGGCCTGTGCTAGTCTGGGTGGAAAGATCTCAAGAGGAGTTTCATAGCACCTTTTCTTGTTAAAATATTTTATTAAAACTCATAAGCTTAAAATATGCATAGAGTGTCTAGGCAGACATAGGATTTAATTTGGAGTGAGGCAGAGGGGAAGAAAGGAAAAGACAGAGTAGTTATGCAAATGCAGGTTATATGTCAGACAGATTACAAGTATCTTACCAATTAACAATTACAATCTGTTAGAAATATATTGTGTGTCCTGCACTGGCATGCCCTGGAAAATGAAAATGATCTGATATTATTCTGTACTTATTTTGAATCCTCATGTCAAAGTATTGTCCATTAATTTTTTTCTGCAAACTTTTTTCCCATTTGACCTACATAGAATCCAGGGGCATTGCTGACAGATGATAGCATATTTCACATTTAGAAGAAGAGCATGTGAAGAAGGTGCCTCTGATCATGCATGTGTACATGTTGGGGCCTAGGACGGTGCTGTTGATATAGAAGTTTTATTTTATTTATTTATTAAATGTTTATGCCACCCATTTTACTGATACAGCAACTCTGGGCAATTTACAATATAATAAAAAGTTAAAAAAATAAAGCAATTAAAATTAGGAGAGTTAAATAAAAAAGCTAAAAACCAAGAGGATGGGATGAAACAGCTCCTTAGA